TACAAAAACCTCTCACTGTAGAGAGACACGCTCTCTGACTCTGACACCAACAAACTCAACAAACACATTCACAGTTTAACCAGTTTATGTTATAACTGGTTAACATGTTTAAAACTGTTTCAGAAATGATACATATGTGTTTAACAATTAATTTGTTAATTGTTAAACATCAATGAGCAATAAAAACTTGTCTTTCAGTAAAACATGATTCTGTTTAAAGTCGTCCCACAGTGATGTTGATGTGTGTTGTCGTGAATTTGGGGGATTTTACAAAACATTGCAGAAGAAAATGTTTCTATCAAAACCAGACTCTTATAAATGAGCACTGACACATTCCTGATCAATACTCTGATGAACTCATATTTCATTGTGCAACCGTGTGTTGTAAATTTTAAATAAGTGAACCTTGTAAAGTTCTCACAATAATTTAAAACACGAACATCTACAATTCCATGAGAAGTGGACATCTTCTGAGAAAGATTGTGTCCCATTAAGAATGAATTTACAAGACTGACTTGAGACTTTAGACTTTACGTACAGCAAGTTCAATTCAATTCAATTTAATTTAATTACATTTAACTTCTCTAGCCCAAAATCACAAATTTGCCCCAGAGGGCGTAACAACCTGTAAAGTCCAAACCTATAGTTGTTAATTGTAATAGTTTTAAGGTATACTGAACATACTGTACATACCAAACATCAAACCACATTTGTTAAATATTGAGAAACAGTGAATAAATCATGGTCTCAACAGGTGGTCACAATAATCAGTCAGGTTCCACAATAGCGCCCTAAAGAACATCCGCCATTACGCCAGCTTTGCTTTTTCACACTGAACCAAACAACGGCAGCAGTCTGAGGAGGATCTGGTGGATGCATGGAAAATGGCAATGAAGGAGCTTAAAATGTAATCAATAAAGACTGAAACTCAATTCTAAATGCAACTGCTAACCAGTAGTGATGGTGAGATGAAGCTTCATGAAACATTAAAGCTTTCCAGCAAATTGGTTCATTTCTTGAGGCTTCATTTTGCTCACAAAACCTCCTGCTGGCCAAAAAATGTAAAAGGCAAATCTAATACAGAAGACCTCCACCATGTAACTTGTGATATAAGGACAATATTCGTGTTGTTAAAGTGGCAGTTATTTGTTTTTATTCAGAAAAGATAATTCCTCAATGTGTTATGGCTTTACTTGTTATTAATCATTGGTCTAAAACGATACCAGCCTTGTTATGAGCTTCACAAAAAACGTCCTGGATTACTCCACACACGCTCGAGCCTCGACGCAACACACAAAAGTCTCAAAAAATGTTAGTGACAGAATATTCCAGACAGTTTTCAATAAGGCCTTCTTTGCTCGTTTTTTCGCAGGGTTCATTTTAACCTTTTAACTACTATCCCTATTTTTAGGCCTCTGCTCGAAAATTGCATACCCATACCCAAGAGAGTCCACAGCTCTAACTACAAGGTCTATTTTAATAATTTTGATGGTCTATACAGGTAACACTTGTAAGATGTGTTCAATTGTGTAAATATTGTGTATATGTTACTGGTTAATTGTGAATGAAGATGGCACACAGCTCAAATTGAAAAAAGTTTCAGGTTCGCCTGAAAAAAAAGCACTTTCATTGAACATTTTTTTGGAATTATTGCAGAGTGAAGCCTACAAATACTCCTGTGTCATACCACAACAGGTTTGTGGTCTCTGCTAATTTTACTTAGATTGAGTGAAGCAGGCCAGCATAATAGGAGGTCTGAGTACATAATTTCAAGCCGAAATATCATTTCTCTCTCATGCTCTATTGTTATTTTATATACTATATAACTATATATTTCACTTTTTTATCACTCATATTATTCAATACATGCAAATGCAGCCGTTTGAAATGATTTTGAGAACAAGGGTCCTCTCAGAGCATGTTTCTGGCTCTCATCCATAGGATTTTCTCAGTTGGTCTGTGTGTATGGGGCTGTATCTCAGCCTATCATCGGTCGATTTCAGTCAATAAGCCCTCCTTTGACGCGTCAGAGTCTCAGGAAGGCGTGTGTCGAATTTGCGGTTGATTGACATCAGTTTCCGTCAGTAAAGTTGCAAGAAGTGCCGGTCTCCCCGAGCGTAAATTTCCGCTCGCCGGAAGTCTGACTGCTCGCCCAAACTGGATTGACCGCTCTTATTCTGGAAACAGCTCGGAAGTAAACAAGATGCAGTTGGCAACAATGACTCCAGCTTTGAAACGGATAATCTGCGACGTTATTGTACTCATCTTTCATAAAAGACACATCGAATCACCAAACCGGCTTCTTACGCGGTTACTAACTTAGTCAACGAGTTATCTCTTCCCACAAACAAACCAATCTAATATAGCTACAGGCGCCTCAGAGTTTGACATTTGGGTGTGCTTGTTTAGGAGGCCGTGGGATTCCTGCCGAGAGGTCCCCGTCATCAAAGATGAACGGACGCCATGGAAAATGCTCAAACTACTGAAGATCATCTCTCTCTGTGTGGTAGCTGTGTCTGTGTTTGGGTTTGCCCTGTGTAGCAAGGTTTGTTCTGTATAATTATTACAGTTGTACAGGTATTATTAATCTACTGAGCTCATGAATTGGAATGTAAATACATATTTCATTCAGGAAAAAGTTATTCAGTGTTGACTTCCTTCGTCATGCTGTGAAATTACTCATATCTTTCCGTCTCGCCTCGCCTTTCTTTTCTGTTCCAGGCGTCTTTTCTCCTCCTCATCACTTTGTCCAACGAGGGCACAAAGACACTCCCGGCGGAGCAGAAGCCTGTCGCCCTGCTGTGCATCGGCTGCGCTATCATCGCTTCCAGTCTGTTTCTCTTTGTGAAGAGCCTCTGGAAGGCGTGTCACAAATCCTCAAAGATGCCGGACAAAAGAACTGTAGCTGTGGTGAGAAACATTTCACATGTCCCTCCTCTTTGACCAAACGTTTACTATACTTTAACGACACCGGTGATCACCCAGTGCACCGCCAAAGAAAACGAACCGCTTCCTGCTGCCTTCTATCACCGCCTTCCTCTTCATTTTGCTCGGTTACGTCCTGTTCCTCATCCTGTACCTCACAAAGGATCCTACTGATACCAAGACGACCATTTGGGTGGGTCTGGCTGTTGGTGGGTCCTTCTTGGTGTCCTTCAACTGGTGGGAGAGCTACTTCAGACAGATCAGCGAGAATAGCAGCTCCGTCTTCCTCAAACTGCTGTGCAGAGACGTGAAAACGTGCCAGAACATGCTGCACATCCTCTCCAGCCTGCTCAGGATCGCGGTGACCGCCGGTGTGCTCGGAGCCTACGTCCCTCTGGCCAAAATGGACTGGGACATCGTGACCTCCATCCCGAGCCGTGAGACAAAAATGATCGCCATCATCATCGGGGTCCAGCTGATCTCCTCCGCACTCTGCCACTGGTTTTCTCTGGTGGCCTGCAAGATGCACGCCCTGCGACGATGCTTCATCCTGCCTTTGTACCTGGCCTCTCTGGCCGTCATGGTTCTCTTCATTGTCCCTGTTATCGTTTACTATGAAGAGTACAGAACAAGTCTGAGCGGGACTAAAAGCACCAACTTCACTAGCTACTGCAATGAAGTTGTCGATGGAAGAAACCAAATCCTGAACGGTAGCGTGTTCCCACATCTGGTTTTGGATGTTACACACACTCTGTGCTTCCTGGACATGTCCAAGACATTTGACATTTGCATGCTGACAGGTAATAAACTGGAGCTACACCACACATTAAGAGATGACTCAGGAGCACGTAAAAGTATTATAACTTGTACAGTTTCCATTCACTTAAATTGCTGGGGATCGATGCAAGGACTTTCGGACACCATGCCCTTTTTTCATGCGTTTTTCATGCGTTCCAGCAAAACGTCTCAATTTCCGTTCGTTACATGCATGCAGAAAATAAATGTCTGTTTTCACAGGAAACATCTAAGTTACATATAGGCAAGACAACTACTTAGGTACATTTAGGAAAAGATTGTGGTTTGGGTTAAAATAACTACGGAAATGGCGTTACTTAAATACAGAACTTACGTTGTCGTTTCACAAGGGGCACAAACGGTCTGCTGTCAGAAAGACAGGTTGTTGTTTGACCGATCCACCTCCCCTCCCGCCCTTACATAGCGATTACATACAAATTGATTTTCGTAGGATATCTACGAATGAAAGCGCATTCGTTTTTTGAAGGTAAAGCTACGCTGTCTTACAACAGCCAGGCTTTTTTTGGCATCAAAAATATTGGGGCAATTAGAAGTCCCTCTTTTCTAAAGAAGCATTGCCGACCTTAAACATTTACCTCTTGTGGTTGTAACCTATTCTCTTGTGGTAGTATTGGGAATATATTGAATAACTAAGAGAAACAGAAGCTGGTGTGTGCAAGGTCAAGGCAAGTGGAAAAAAACAACTTAATGCTCAGCAGTGTTCTGGTGGCTCGGCCTTGTGCTGGCCACTCTCCACCTCTGGTTCCTCAGTCTGTATCGCATCCAGAGGACTCAGGACCTGTTCATTAGGAGGCCGTATGAGGGAGGATTTTTAGAGCAGTCACTACTTCTGAACGCTCGATTTGACATCCAGACGACTGAAAAGCGAATGAAGTAAGTGTGTGTGTGTGTGTGTGTGTGTGTGTTTGGAATGTCAGGAATACCCTACAATGTGAGGTTCGTTCGTGAGGGCTGTTTTGAGTTAGGAAGTTTTGAAAATAGTTCAGGAAGGATTAGTTTAAATACAGTCTCACACACTTTATAGGTGAGTTAACTGTCTTTTGTCTGTCTTAGCATTAAAAAGCTAAAATTATCTATGTAATGTTCTTTATTTGAAATCTATAGACTCTTATTTTTGACGATCACTAATTTCCTATAATTAGCCATGGCCTTTACACAAAGGCTGGCAAATAAAAGAAGCTCTGTAATTATTGTAAATTAAATCCTCCAGGCCCCCTGCCAACAAATGAGTTAATGGCTGTGGTGAAAACGTGTTTGGTATCAACATGTCTGTCATTAGAATGAATCAGAAAGCTTTCCAAAGGAGCACAGATAATGTGTCAAACAATCCCTTAACGTGGATTCTGGATTCACATTATTATAACAGGTTCAGATAAGTGTAAAGGCTGTAAAGGAAAAAAGTAGATTGTTCTGAACTTTCACACTGCGAATAAAGGCAGTTGAGTTGCACCTACATTTATCAAACAACAACACAGAGGCTCCGTAGTACGAACAAAGACGGCAAACTTTATTACATCTATCAACCTTGGCAAAGGCAGCGCAGAGCACACCCAATATTCTGTTCTTACCTTTTAATAATTAAAACACATAATATTTGCAGGCGAGTATTTCACATTTTTGCGTTGTGTATTCGCCACATCCCCTTAAGGGTTAGGATTAGCTATATGTGCTTAAAACCCATTTCTGAATAATGCAAATCTTGTCTTTTTTCAGTTTCAAACCACCAGACTCTGTGAAAGTGTTCCTTTGTGCGACCATGTGGCATGAAACCTACGCAGAGATGATGAATATAATCATTTCAATATTTCGGTAAGTTTCACATAGGTTGCCTATGAAAACAAAAACAAGCTGTTATTTACACATTCCTGGCCTTTCCCCCCCACTTCTTTAGTTACAGTTTTAGGTAGCAAAGGTTTTTTCATCTGAAATCGTCCAATACATAGCTCTAGAAGAATTAGCAGAATCTAAACTGCCCCTGGTCTTTTGCTTCATTACTATTCGCATGGTTTGGATTGCTGTAGTCACCTGTATGTGTATTTGGCTGGATGCATAATGGCTCCCAAGTGTGTTTGTCGTATTTGGAGTTTAGGTACAAAAGCATGGCTTCTAGAGAATTTCCTTCAACCTTCTTTGATTAGCAGTTCAGTTTGATCACTTGAGTCTCCTTTGAGAGTTTCAAAATCTGGAAAATTCATGGAAAAACTTATTTTTTATTTCTGCAAAATGTTCCTATTGCAGCATAACAACCTCCAATTTTATCGAGGTAGAACTCCCTCTGAATTCTCTCAGCCTCACTTTAACAACAACATCATCACAGTAGCTTTATGCGATTCTTGTAACTCCACAGACTGGACAGGTACAGACCGAAGAAGGAAGGAGAAACTAGCGATGTTATCTTCGAAGGCCATATCTACTTCGACGACGCCTTTAGAGATGTTCCCGGTAGTAAGGGGCGCCACGTCAACGAATATGCCGAGATGCTTCTGGATATTCTCAGAGAAGTTTACAGGTAAATGCTTGATCTATAGAAAAATAAAGGAAGTACAGCATTCGACTGCCAAGTGATCTCAGTGGTTATCACGTGAAATGAAGCTGACTTATGTTTCATCAGTATCTTCTTAAACATCGATGGAGACGTCTTCAAAAAGCAGCAGCAGGTCCCTGATCTGAAAATCGTCACGACGCCGTACGGAGGGCGTCTGGTGGTCACCATGCCACACGGAAACAGTTTAATGGTTCACTACAAGGACAAGACACTCATCCGCCACAAGAAGAGATGGTCCCAGGTGATGAAAAATTATGCAACAGAGTTTGATTAGTATCCAGTTTAAAACATTTCATTGCCTTTCCTTTACTGCCAGTGACATTTAGTAGTATATAATATACATAATATTTTAGGAGACAGGGTTGCTCTGTCAGAGTGTGTTTGCTGAATAGTATGTGACATTTTACAGGTCATGTACTTGTACTATCTCCTGGGCTGGAAAGTAGCAACCAAGTATTTCAAAAAGTGGGAGAAAGGAGAGGTGGAGGTTCAGCTGAAACACGATTTTGAGGTAAGACGAAAAAAACACATGCATACGCACACAAACCCACACATAAACCAGTGCATACATTACAATATTTGTACATGAAAAGAAGCTAAATGGCAAACTGTGTCTGATCCTGCAGAGAGAGAAGCACAACACCTACATCCTGGCTTTAGATGGGGACACAGACTTCCAGCCGGCCGCTGTGATGCTGCTCATCGATCGTCTGAAACTGTATCCGCTCGTCGGGGCAGCGTGTGGCCGGATTCACCCAACCGGATCAGGTTGGTCAAATACGATAAAAAGACAGGGACACTATGAGATTGATTGCTGATCATCGATAAAGTCAAGGCAAACGTATATCAGACCAGTCAGCAAACATTTTGCAAAATATGCAGCAGACGACCTAAAATATACTTTTAAAAATAATTTAGGTGGGTAGTTTAGTTGACGTTGAGCTTTTTCTCAATGAAATTCAGAAGCAGCTACTACAGGCAACCCAGCAACTTGAGGATGGATGGATGAATGGTGGATGAATGGATGGATGGATGGATGGATGGTGGGTGGATGGATGCATGGAGGATGGATGGATGGATGGTGGGTGGATGGATGAATGGTGGATGGATGGATGGATGGTGGGTGGATGGATGAATGGTGGATCGATGGATGAATGGTGGATGATGAATGGATGGATGGTGGGTGGGTGGGTGGGTGGATGGATGAATGGTGGATGATGAATGGATGGATGAATGGTGGGTGGATGAATAGATGGATGAAGGATGATGTACAAATGGATAGATGGATGGATAGATAGATAGATAGATGGATGGATGGATGGATGGATTTAAGATGACTAGTGGATGGATAGATGGATGGTGGATGGCCACATCAAATAATAAGAATATGAAACAAGAATAATCAATAAAATGAACACTAAAGACATACAGGAAATTCTAAATTACCTGAATGGACAAACAAATATTATAGACTGTAAAAGGAGTGAGCAGCAATAAACATGTACATGTTATATAAGGTCCTACCGCTTTCTATAACTTAAATAATCAACTTATCGGGCACTGGCTTCACAAGACAGCAGAGCATGTGTTCGGCTGCGTGCTGTGCAGCCCCGGTCGTTTCAGTCTGTTCAGAGCAGCGGCACTGATGGACGACAACGTGATGAAGAGATACACCATAAAGGCCTCGAAGGCGCGACACCACATCCAGTACGACCAAGGTAGACATTGAGCTGGTCTATTTCTAGAGCTGACAGTGAATACATTATGGATGAATACAACCAAAACCAGAGCCAGTTTATTTGATGAAAAACGATATGGTGGCACATTTGACACAATCTCGAATGGTCTCTGCAGGAGAGGACCGCTGGTTGTGTACTCTGCTGTTGAAGCAGGGTTGGAGAGTGGAGTACAACGCGGCCTCTGATGCCTACACCAACGCCCCGGAGGACTTTAAAGAGTTTTACAACCAGGTGATTATAGGAGCCTCTCAAAAACTTACGTAGCATAATTCAGATGTGTTCTCACCGTGCTGTGCCAGCTCTGAGCCTGATAATGAAGATGTACAGCTCCTTGGGAGAACCAGTACGTCTTCATTCCTAGAAAATCAAATACCGCCTCTCTGTCACGCCCCTTTATGTCAGATACCGATGCACAAGGCACGCTAAATGGTGCCTTCAGCACCTTTAGATTTTCAGAGAAAATGCTCCTTGGAGTATGATGACGTACAGTAGTATAAAGACCGAAAAAAACTAACAGGAAGGGTGGGAATGAAGGCCGATGGGTCAAACTAACATGGGACTTTCAATCATGAGACCGTTGTTCATGTCACAAAGTGTTATTTTTAAGGTACGTTGGTGATGTTAGTGTCTTCTTTTCTGTACTTAACCATGAACCCAACTTAGTATGGATTGTGCACCAAGTGGTTTTGTTTAAATTTCACAACGTTAACCAAGACGCCAAGGATCCCGACCAAGCGGTAGTATGTGACGATGGAATAAGAATGTGTTGGGCAAGCATGATCAGCATGTGTTGCCTACATGTGAATGTGAATTAAAATGTGGTTTAACACTCTTTGAACCAGATCCTCAAGAGAATTCTGATCAGCACGTGTTGGTTAAATGCAGTGGCGGGCCGTGCATTTTATACCTGGGCCTGCACTCGTAAAAATGAAGCTCAACACCTACAAATACACTATGAGTGCAGATACATCAATACCCGCATGACGGGATGCGGCGGCATTAACGAACAATGAGTCAAAATCAATTCAGCTAAAACACGCATTCCGCCACATACTCGAGAGCACGGGCCATTCAAATATTATTCATATCAGAGGGAACAATATTACCCATATCATGAAAACGACACTCTCCTATCACTCCCTCCAGGAAATACACGACTCCATAGTTCTTGTTACTGACGGATTTATTCGTCTGACCAATCACGTATGGCTAAGCCAGCTAGCAGGCTCTGGCATGTCAAAGAATACGCCCAACATGTCAAACTAAAGATCTGATTGGTTGAAGACTATGACAATCAACAATATCGTCCCCATTCACTTAAACTGCAAAGGGATTCACTTGTGAGTCTGTAGGCCTCGGGCCTCTGTTCTTACCTAGAGACACAGAGGTGAAATCTGATTGGATAAAAGCTCTACTTAAAACAAGCTGCACTGGAAGCAGAGCAACTGAGGAAGACAGTAGCTGTGCAATGAGGAAATAAGCTAATGGGGAAAATGTTTTTATAAATTATAATGCATAGTGTATTTAAGAAACATTATAAAATTATAAAATAGATATAACTTTGTGATTCTGTTTAGGCCAGCAGAGAAGGCCTTGCAGGCCCTGACGGCCCACCACTGGTTAAATGTGAACAACACTCTTTGGACTTACCTGTTCCTTTACCAGTTCTGGTTTCTGAAAATATTTTAGCTCTATTGTGGACAGTCATAAGCTCTAAGTAGATAATTAGCAATACCAATTGTGAATATGAAAAAGTACAATTATCTTTAATTATCTATCTTGATTATCTCTAACACACTCCTCATCTTATAATTATGTGGTTATAAATAAGATGTTGTTTGGTTGAACCTTTCCATAGGAAATACAAATATAGTTATTGTGCAAAGAGAAAGGTTAGTTCAGAAATGAATTACAATGGTGTACGTCTCCATAATGGGATGGTTTACTGGCTTGACTGTACTTTCTCATTCTTCAACTGAAACTACAGCAAGCTGCAGATATATAAATAATGGCCACCACAACAGCTTGCAGAATAATTCATGCTAATGCTTTTTTTGCCACTGTCAGCGTCGCCGATGGGGACCGTCCACCATGGCCAACGTAGTGGACTTGGTGGACTCTGCCACCCTGATCTCCCAGAGGAACCCGTCCATTTCCAAAGTCTACATGCTCTACCAGCTCTTCAACTTGGCTGCGTCCATACTGGCACCTTCCACCGTCATCCTTATGATAGCAGGTCGGGCTCGTTTTTTTAGGTTATTTTTAAGCCAGTAATAAAGCTCAGCAGGACCAAAATAAGTTAAAGCTTTAACTGTTAAATGTAAGCATGATAGCTTAATAGTCAATCATGCAATTCTTAATTTGATGCAAAAATTGTTCTCATGTATATTATAGTATTTCTTTAAAAATGCAAATACTCCTGGATTGAATCTGAATGTGTACTTTCAGTTAATTGCTTTTATTGCTGATGGAAGTTTAATGCTAAGGAACGAGGATGTGATTTATGCGAGAAGGTCATGGTTACTCACTTACTTATTCATCATGTGGTTGTTAATTAAACCAGTTGTTTTGTTTGCTTCCTGTCACTCATTCAGGTAGTTTGACTGTGATGTTCAATATCGACCCGGGCGTTGCTCTGGTCCTGGCTGTGATACCTCCTGCTATCTTCCTCGGCATCAGCTTCAAGATCAAGTCAGACACTCAGATCTTTATTTCCGCGATCTTGAGCATCCTGTACGCCTTCGTCATGATGATGTCAGTGATTGCCATAATAGGTAAACAAACACGACACTCAATTAAGGCTGTTCATACCGAAAGGTTTCTGGCATCTAAATCTCATCTTCCATCTGTTCCTCCTCCATCAGGCAACATGGTGAAGGACCAAACCATCCTGAATCCAAGCAGCCTCTTCATCATCGCCCTTGCCTGCTTTTACGTCATCACTGCAATCCTGCATCCTCAGGAGATTTGCCTGGTGTGCTATGGCTTCCTTTACATCATCTGCATCCCCAGTGCCTACCTGCTGTTGTCGATTTACTCCATGGTCAACATGAACAACGTGTCCTGGGGCAGCAGGACACGCCTGCTGCCGGAGCTGCACAATCGAAAGCCGCAGCCCCACAAACCAAAGCCCAGAAAGGTAGATGAAACTTGAAAATGTGCTACCATAGAGTGCTGTGCATGCATATATTTGGAACGCGACAAAACCCCAAAAATATTATGTCCAGTTATTTACACATTTTACATGTTAAACCACACTGGACCGATTGAGTAATCCAGCAACTTTTATTTCCTTTTTTATACATCAGTATATTGTCATTAGCAAATTCACTCACCCCGTTTTTAGTGAAAACATTAAAATATGTTTAACGATACTTATTAACAACATACATTTTTGGGGATAACTTAAGGACCGTTACACTTTTGAAATGACATTGCCCTGTCAGTAATACATGTCTTTTCTAAGGCCGTTGTTTTCCCTGTAACATTTTTTGACAAACAAACATAAACGCTTTTTATTTCCTCATTTAAACGACTGTTATTACACAATGCTGCTCCATTGTTTGACTTGAACTGAGCCTGTTGGTTACTCTTGCAGCCAAAAGCACCATCACACAGTTGTTCTCGGGGGGCAAATGCTGTAGAAAACTCTGTCCGACTGGAGAAGAGCTCAGCCAGGACTTCCAGACCGTGGAGACAGCAGAGCCTGACCCTCAAACCCAAAACAGTATTGTGGAGGATGCGAGGCAGCCTGAGGAGGAGCAGAGGTACGATCTGTCATGGAACATAAAGATGTAATACAGCGTCAATGGATAAGTGCAAGTCATTACTTTATGTAAAACATTTTTACATATTTTACTGGAAGGAAACATGACAATAATAAGCCATTTTTTAAGGTAAAAATAACCCAGCATTCTAGTCAATGTAAACCAATAATTGGGTTAAATGATCACCCTATCTTGCTGGGTTAGATAGCTTAGCGTGTGGGTGGTCCAGTCCACAAACTGGGTTGTTATAAACCCAACATTTTTTACTGTAAAAATCACACAATTTAAATTTAAAAACAAGAGCAAAGGGTAAAAAGAATGTAATTGTTTGAAAATATAAATAAAGAGAAATATATTCTCACACTGCCAATTGGCAATTTGCAGTGTAATATATGTATTTTAGTGTTAACATCAATTGTAATGTTGCATCAGATATTTCGTTGCTAGACCCCTTTACTGTAATATATAACGGAATAGACTATTTGTACTGGTTTGTTTCTAACTGTTATTTCTAATTTTGTTTCAGTCAAGGGCCTGCTTTCAGCTGCCCTAACCAAAGTAAGTCAAAATAAGTAAATATATGCTTTTTTAATAGCTGACTCACACATTCATGTTGTGTAATATTTCCCTGTCTTGCTCTTTTGTTCAGCTTGGATCACACAACTGCAGAGTTTGTCTGATGACATGCGTCTGAGGGAGGACACACTCGACGAGGTGCGACTTTCTCGTTTTTGTGTCTGTCCGTCCCTTTGATCGCCATATTGGCAAGACATTCATTGCATAAACGTGAGACATCTTCACATTTGGTTAATGGATACTGTGATTGTCGGTGTCAGAGATATCAGGCCAAATGTAATGTCTTTTAATCGAGTGATGTTTATTCCGTCACGTCAAACAGGCCAAATGCATATTATATCAAATTAAAATATAATATCTTTAGGTTCATTTTTTTACCAAAAGGTGAAAAGTCAACATTTGTGCAATTATAATCCTTATTTGATGTGTTTTAGTATGCAAAGATGATCCATCAAACTACCTCATAATTGGGTATTTTGCCATGCACCTTTAAATATGCTTTGTTCTCATTGGGCGTCAAATAACAGCGCTTCCTCAGGCCCCCTGTTATCTGATACCGTATGCACGTTATATTTTACACAGTTCACGTACTGATTTTAATCCCAACCATGATGTTTTTCCTAAACTTAAGTTAACGGTTTCCTTGCATAAACCTAAGCAAGTATTTTGGTTTGAATTAACACCTTTAACGATGTGTTTACTGCGATCCAGTGCGATAGAAAGCGACGCCAACGGGTCTGACAAAGTGTCAATATGTGATGAGTTGGGATGACTGTTGCAATAAAAACAATCCAAACCTACTCTGACTTCTGCAGCATGATAAACCCAAGAAGTAAAACACGTATTGAAATGTATCTGCAGGATGAGGGGCAGTTCTTCAGAGATCTTACGACCAAATACCTGGAGCCTCTTCCAGAGAACAAACAGAAACAGAAAGAAATGACCGATGAACTCAGGGAGTTGAGAAACAAGGTAACTATGTGTCCGAGTGGTGAAATAAATCACATTATGATGAATATAAAATACTAATCCTTTTTTTTTTCTTTTTTTTACAGATGTGCTTCATCTACTTCATTTGCAACGCCTTCTGGCTCGTAGTGACCTTCACTCTCCAGATCTTAGATTCGTCCATCTTCATCAGGTTCCCAAAAATTCACCGGAGACTACATCTACATCGACCCTGTGGGCTTCATGTTCATCCTGTCGTTCGCCTTGCTGGTTTTAATCCAGTTCATAGGCATGCTGGGCCACAGGTAACCCTGTTTGATGTTCATGGTGTAGAAACATCTGCTTATCCTCTCTAACTTTCTTGTTCTGTTGTTTTCTTCTCAGAATATACACCCTGATCCATTATGTGGCCTTCATGGATACGGAGCCCATGTCTGACCATCAGAAACAGCAACAGCCACTTAAACAGGTATAGATACAACTGATGTATTATTACTACTTCAGTACTATTTCTACTACTACCACAGCTACTGCTGCTACTGCTGTGGTTAGTATTGCTGGTATGGGACGCCAACTAGAGAATCCCACACAAAGACACAAAGAAACTCATGAGCAGTGATTTCACTATATTTCTCAAAATGTTTCTTCGTTTATTGCAACACGTTCTCATTCCCAACTCGTCCAATACCGAAGGCTTGGTCAGTGGCTTTATTCTTCCAACTATGACACACTACGTACCCCTCTATTATTGCTTTTGGACGTGTCAGGGGCAGCGCGTCCTTTTAAAATAAACTTCTGTGGTCACAGGAAACATAGAGTTATAAAACCTAAACCTAAACGAAGGTTTACTTATGCAACAAAACTGCTTGGTTGAGCTTAGGATGGTTTGGGTTAAAATAAGTATTTTTCTTACGTAGAATAACTACTTTGTTACGTTACTGCCGTTAGTAAAGTACGGAAGTTACGCTACAAAATGACGGTAAAATAAGTCAACACAGGAGACACAAACAAAGCTCTCCAGGGTGAAAGTCCTGTTTCATTTGCTGGTTTCGGTATCAGATACTCATCACTGACCAATCAGCGGCATTTGTTGTGAGCAAGAATGGGTTGTTTACTTATCATAATAATACATAACAACATATCAGACTTAGTCAGGGATATTACAATAAAGTCCTGAACTTATGGAGAGAGACAGAGACAAGCACACCTGTTAACTTTAGTCTGAGAGAGCTTAGTGTTGCATTGGTTTGTCACATGTTACATTATTCACAGCATCTTTTTACTCATTACCAGAATAAAAGGTTTCAAAATACATAAATAAAAAATGGACATTCAAATCAATGGCCTGCAGTGTGTAAAGGCCTTTACTCGTACCTTTCTAAAAGCACAATACTTTGTCTAAAACTCTATTGATGTGTTGCTAGTGAAGATTTTTTTAAATTTCTTTTATTAATATTTTTAGTAGGAGATGAAAAAGCAGCAAGAGGGATGCTTGAAGTTCATGTTCACCCCTTACTACTGCTGGTACTGTTGATAACTTTAAACCTGGAAGTAAAATGAAATGTAGCAGCAGTCAGCTCGAGTTGACACTGATCCGGTCTTTAATGTTCGGAACACACTGTACCATTCCTTTCTTTTATTTGTTCTGAGAGACACCCTTGTTGTTGTTTGCAAATTGTTATCAAGCTAGGGTTTATTCTAGCACAATGAGAGGGAGCAGAGCTGTTCACTAAGGGCCAATTAATGTGTCGGCTGCATAAAAGATCCATGGAACAAATTCAAGGTGACAGCGTCATAGCGAGACCTATACCACGGTTACACTATTATTGTTCTGGGTGTGGTAACATTGCTGTGGACTCATCACCTGAATGTCCGGCAGATCACAGACAAAGACAGCGACGACCTCGAGGACTTCATGTTTCCAAGTGTCCTCAGCAGAAATCCCGACGGTGGAACTCTGGTGTGATCGACGATGAACCAAAACACAACCACAACCCTTTGCACTTATTCAGATTGTTTTAGGCAAGTTTATGATATTTATCGATTATCTTTTTAACGACACAAGTTTGTCACAATGTGCCACATGAAGCTGACACTGGAACTGTAAAATGTGAATGAAATCGACAGCTACTGTAACAACAATAGCAGTAAATCAAATACTTTTACTGTCTGACAGCTGAGGAGCTCATTATTTTTTGGGGGGTTTTGAATATTAAAAGCAGCTCAAATGTGGATGAATGAAAAGAGAACGTGGTTTGATGTAAACATTCAGCGAGCAGCAGAAGGAACAACTAGTGAGTATTTTGACACATGTCAAAAACTGAAATCAATGAGCCTCTCTGGTAACACAGTTTATCGCTGTCACTTTATTTGTGACACTTCAACAGTAAGTGAAGATTAAACTGTTTATGAAGGTGGTCAACAAGGTTATCATGAATCTTTCTTTGTGCATATTTTCATGTTAATCACTTTAATTAATCCTGATCTTGTAATTCATTTTGTTGGGAGTATGTAACACTGGTGCCTTAAAAACAATGAAGGGAAATGGCGCTGGCCAGTAAGAGAACAGAAAACAAATGTTTTAACTCTGCTTTGATTAAGTTATATTTAAAACTGACTAAACTATAACATTACAGCACTTTATGATTTTTCTCAGGTTTAATATTGTCTTTAAATGGTGAATTTTGAAGTTCATGCACTATACCTGTAATTACATGACTCACAAAATGTATACAGTGCAGAATCTAATAAAACAGTTGACAATTATTTCGTTGAATGTTATTGGGACTGGATTTGATTATCTGGACTTTTTTCCTTTGTTGGGTGTAACATTTTACCTCCAATACTCTGTCTCATGAGAAGGGAGTGTTTGGAGCTCTGACTCGTATATTCATGTGGTGGATTAAACAAATCTCAAACATTACATTGTCGGATGAAACTCCGGTTTGGAAGCCAAGAACATAAAGACAATCTGCTACACCTCAAATCAATTATTGAATTAACTAACGTTATTTATTCTTTATTTTTGCTGCATAAAAGTCTATTTATTTTATAAAACCGTAGAAAACAAATGTCATGTGATGGGAAAATTCTGGCTTTTCTTTGTTTCCATATCAATCCCCTTAAACACTGCGTGATTACTGAGTCAACTTCACTGATTTTGTAAAGTAACAACTGCCTCCAACAACGAGGTCTTGTTTTTATATATCATGTTTGTATGTGTTGGTTTGGATACCGAAACAAGTTTTAACACACATTTAAATTCGATTTGATCAACTTTGAGCTAAACAATAACATGCAGTTAGTGAAACTAACTCTGACTCATGTTTCAGTGAGTATTTTAATGCCATTTTTTAATTTATTTTGTTTTCAAATCCCAGTTTTGGTGGACTTTGCAGTTTTACTGGAGGTTTGCCGTGAGGTGTGAGTGAGAAACTGTAATCTGCTCCTTCATACCCAGGTGGCAGTGTGTGTGCATGTGCAGTATGTCTAATAATGGTTGAGAGAGAGTACCATGCATCCTCATATGTCCGTCCACTGTCTTTTATGGGATTAAGAACATCGGCGTGTTTGCAGTAAATGGCTGTGATAATTATTTTTGCTCTTTCTATACTTAAAATAAATAAAATGCTCTTGAATTTGATCAGGAAGAAAGTCACATCATCTGTCTCTGTCTCATATTTAAAAACAATCTGCGTTTCAAACACGTTCTCATCCCAACTGGTCACACACCGACGTTTGCTCGAAACCCTTGGTGATACTTTGTGACTGTGACGCTCCGCTACGGTCGCAGTAAACACTCGGTTACCGCTGTTCATTTTACACAAACCGATCGCAAAAGCACAACACAGTGAAATTTAGGGAAAGCAGCGTTATGTTGGTGGAAAAAAAGTCACAGACATTTAAGTAACTTGAAATCTAACAACCTTCTTAAATGAACAACGTCATCAATGTCAGATCAACCGAATAACATCTTCTTAATCAAGACAATATTAAAATCGTATTAGAGATAATTAAGATGAAGATGACTGTACTTGGGCTACCTGGTAGTTATCTACCTGCTGATTATGTCCAAAATAGAGCCCACAACCGGTAAGGCACTTGGATCTGTACCAAAGAATGTTAAAGAACATTTTAATTACAGCTCTGACATGCCATGTCAAAGCTGATCTGTGTTCACCTGAAAAACCTGTTCAGAGAGTGTAATAGGAATAATTACATGACTAAGTTCAGATTTTACCAACATGTGTCGATCAGTATTCTTCGGATCTGGTTCAAAGAGTGTTAAACCACATTTTAATTCACGTTCACATGTAGGCAACGCGTGCTGACCACTGTTTGACAAACACGTTCAGTATGTAAATCAAGGAAAACACAAACAACGTAAATCTTGAAACATTGATCTGCTTGTTGAAAGTCCTGGGTGTGTTTGATTTGGTCTTTTTATTACATCATCACTCCCGGAGCACTTTCTCAGAGTGTCTGAAGACAGCCGATGGGTTTACAGCGTAAATACTTGTGCGTCGGTTTTGGGCGTGACAAAGCGTTTGTTTTTGACGCCCTGGGGATGAGAACGGGCCGGCGTCTTACATGTGTTTTGTTTTTAGCTTCTCTGGAGGCAAAAACATTAAGTTGAGTTGAGCCAGGTTGCTGTTTTTAAGGAAGACGGTCAGCAAACTTGAAATATGTTACTTTCTTAACATTCTTTACATTACTCCCACTTATGATCCGGGATGGTTGAAGACGGCGTACAAACAGAGTATTAAAGACGCGACAACAACTTTTTATTGCAGCTTTTGCCACTCCGTGTTGACACCTTTGCACAAATAAACTGTTTGATTTCCTACAACTTGAAAAGCCTTTATTGTCATATTACAGTTTCATTATAATCGTATTTACAAATTAATATGTGTGTTACAGAAATTTACAACAACACAGAGCAGAGAAATCAAAGTGAAACACTGCGAGCTTGATAACATTCAACGTGACGCTGCTTCTGTACGGCTCACAGCACAGAAATACAATAAAACCTAAAGACCAGACTCTAAGATAAACAGTCTTAGTGACGTGTTAGTAATCTACCGAGCAGGTACAGCTGTGTTTTATGAGCCGGTTGCTTAGGACTGCTGTCACTGTGCTGGTCCAACAGCTACTAGGCTTCATTTTATTATCATTCATATCCACGTGTGTTCCATAAAAGCCATAAATGCTCTGCCCATTTCTGCACTGAGCTTACAGTTACACACTTTACACCCCTTTGAGAGTCTCTGATGGCAGAAAAATAAAAAATATGCACGTAAAACCGAAAAGACAGTTTCAATTCACCTTCCCTTCAGTGTGACCCCTGAGCCAAGTTATTACTGGCTTTCCTTTTAATAGTCTCACTTCCCCCTCTGCCTTCTTTCCTATTCCACCAGACTCACCACAGTTCCACTTTCCATCTGTGACCTCAATCACATGCAACAAAACACAACGTTACAGGAAAATGTGAATCTGACATCAGTACGTCAACATCTTCACCGTAAAGTCAGGACATATTTACAAAAGCACCCGCAAGGATTGACTGCAGTTTGAGGAGTAAATACTACTTAAAGTTATCTAAACGACAACAGAAAAGAGTCTCAGTATTTAAAGGTAATAAAATACCATGCATGTAGTATATAAAGATGTCTTAGAAAGAAAGGCACATTTTTTTACTTGCAGTAATGCAGCCGTGAGCAGAACCTTCTTCTCTTAAACCAACTCAAACTAAAAGTAAACTTATTTTGTGACATTTGTTTTTGTCACATTAGTCACATGACTCGCTGTCTTTCCAAAATGAATTTCCAACGTAGGTTTACTTAGTTTTTAGGTTTAATTACTTAACGTAACTTCTTGGTTAAGCTTAGGAAAATATCGTAATTTGGGTTAAAATACTTAGTACGTTTGTAACATGAAATAACTACTTTTGTAAATGGTGTTAGTAAAGTCCGGAAGTTACGTCGCAGAATTGAGGCACATCAGTCAATGTTGACTTGGTCTCACATGGGACATGGACAGCGGTCTCCTGGGTGAAAGTCCAGTTTTTGTTTTACAGAAGACAAACAGGCATTATCACTATGAAAGGATTAATATGAATGTGGTTGTTTATTGCAGTAAAGTGTTTGCGTCGGACTGATGCCAGATCGCATTTGAACAAACCAACAGGAACTATATTTGTCATTCTGTTGTGATGGATTATGCATCTATAGCAAGTTTCAGACCTCTTCAACTTTCATACTTTACAGAAATAAACTGAAATAAATGGCTGCCTAGAGGGACGGAAACTTTTTCCATCACTTCCTTTTACCATTTCCAACCTTTTATCTCGCTGGTGGTATTTAATAAAACTTTCACAGTCTGCCAGTAGAAATAGCCTATTATGAATACTTTTATGAAAATGAACATGCAATGTATCAATAAATTACACTTGTTTCTTTGTGGTTATTTTCAAGACAAATGCCCTGTCTTGTACTGTAGCCTTACACTTGTAATATCTCTAATAACCATCAGGGGGCGACTCCTCTGATTGTATAGAAGTCTATGAGAAAATAACTCTGATTTTATCGAAATCGCACGCCGCTAAAATCAATCTAACTGCATGAAAAAACCTAAGTATGGAGCTTTAATGCTCTAAAATGTGTTCTGGAAGAGAGACTCAAACTTCAATCTAATGCTGTCTGACTCCTTCCTGCCATGACAAAAGAAGCTTGTTTCGACCCGCCGCTGTCGTCCAGAGAGCGCTCGTTGGACTGGGTCGTCTGCCCGTCCATGTCGTCCGTCAGAGCCCTCTTGTACACCCCCGCCAGACTCTGCCTGAACCGCCCCCTCACGTCCAGCCCCATGCAGAAGTACAACAGCGGGTTCACGCAGCTGTTAAAGTAGGCAACGCCCTTCGCCACAGGGTGCCAGATCTTCACCACCGTGTGTTTGCTGTCCACCATCTTTACCAGCAGGAGGCAGTGGTACGGAGCCCAGCACAGGAAGAAGGCGACGACCAATGATGCTAGAATGCGCAGGGGGCGGGACTTCCCCAGCAGGCGGGTGCGTCGAATGCCAATTGCGGCCAGGATGTAACAGATGAGGATGACCATGAAAGGCAACATGAAGCCACACAGGAAGCGGATGGAGTAGAGGACCAGTTTGGCGCTGTTGTTGGACTCCTTCACCTCCAGGGAGCACTTGGTCAGGTTGTCCTTCTGGTAGACCTGGCGGTAGACGAAGTACGGCGCGCTGAAGACGGTTGCGGCGCTCCAGACGCAGACAGCCACCAGCCTGGCGGCCCACAGGGTGCGTCGACGCTTGGTGAAGACGGGCTGCCAGATGCAGAGCGCCCGGTCCAGACTGATCACAGCCAACAGGAAGACGGAGCAGAACATGTTGGCGTATTTGAAGAAGCCGTTGAACTTGCAGACGAAGACGCCGAAGGGCCAGCTGTCGAAGAGGAGCTTCTTAGTGAGGGAGAAGGCTCGTGTGAAGCAGAAGATGAGGTCCGCTATCGCCAGATTCACCAACCACACGTTGGTGACCTTTGGCTGAAGAGGAAGAAGAGAAGAAGTAAACAAGGAGAGGGAACAAAGAGGGAAAGAGGAGAATTGTTTAGTATTTTGTTCTCGTAAAATTATGCTTTGAGGGTATTTTGTCTTATTAGATCTAGTTTGCTTTCGACATTTCACAAATACATTTTAAACAAGTCTGTAGAAGTTTGCAAAAAAACAACAATGTGATCTCACTGAAATGACCACGAGATCTTAACAGCACACGATGAGGTGGTGGCATGCTATATGTTGAAATTACGCATCGGCACCATGGAAACAGTTGATTTTAAAACATTTTACAGTAAATACGTAAACTTAGATTTAGGCAACAAAACCACAAAATTAGATTTAGAAAAAATGTCACAAATGTAACTTCACAATAACTGAACAACAGTCTTTGTTTGACCCGTTTACCTCCCATCCTGACTGCGGTGATGAAATCTGTCAGAAATGAAATTCTGCTTTTGTTTTCTTTTTGTGCGAAATCAAAAAATGAATTGCTTCAAAAGCTGTTCTTAGAGTATAATAAATATGGAGTTGGTTTACAGAATGCAGAAAAGATTTCAGCGTATTTTTACATTTTCACATATTTATATACAGTATATTCACAATATCACACTCCTAATCTTAAATATCACAGTTTTTAGTTCTTCTTCTAATGAAGTGAAATATATTCTAACTTCCTTCTTCTTGTATCACACATCAGTATAGCCATGCAGTATGCTTATAGCTGTAAACACAAATAAATGAGTTTGTCACGCCACTTCAGAATGTGTCATTAACCACCCGGCCTAATTTTAACAATTAAACAAATCTGTAAGTAAATAAAATTAGGTTTCAAAAACTTGAAAAAGAAATGCAGTATCCTCTGCTCTGGAAGCGGAGGTGTTATTTACAGTCACAGTATGTACGACATAATGGCCTTCTCCCTGCTGCATGCTCATTTTATACTCTATGCTAACTTGAATGTTGATGAAAGTATTTATTCGTGCGTCTCTTGACTGATACAAATTTATTTTTTTCCTATTTCTAACTCATCACACGCTGTGAACCCACCTTGACCTTGAAGCCGGCCACCCAGATCACCATGGAGTTCCCCGTGATGCCGAGCACGACGGTCAGACTGTAGAGGACGATGGAGACGTTGTCCAAGATGGCGTCGACGTCCACCGTTGTCGCCTGGTCACTCTTGGAAGGCTTGAGGACGGGAAAGGAGGCGTTGAGAGACATTGCTTGGCTGGAAAACAGGAAATCAAATGTTACTGATCATATAACTCCTGTTTCTAACAGACAACGAGGAAGAAAATGCAAGACGAAGACCTGAGACACGAGTGTCAGAGTGGATACGTTGAAAGGCTTTATCTCTGCAGAGCCTGAAAGGGGGTCAAACGTTTGACTAATTGTCTGCACAGTTTTGTCATTTGTTAAAAACACATTTTTCCAGCCAAATACCTAAATAAATCTACTTACTGTATCTCAGTCAAAATAAATATATGTTCACGCAACACATTTAGATTTTCGACATCCTACAAATGCTTTTTTTAAATGTAAGCTAATGCTACTAATTTGAAGCAATAGATGAAGTGTTTTAAGCTCACAAGTTGTTGATTTGATTATTAACTTGTGCATCATATATTTTGTTGTGATAGGAGAGATTTAATACATTAGATTTCATGAATTAAATATGCAATTTTGCACTGTCAAAGTGCAAAGCAGCTGACTCAGTCTATGACTCTTTGCAGTTCACCTGAGCGCAGTGATGACTTGTAGGGAAATATATTAAGATAACTCAACAACTGAGCATGGGGGGGGGGGGGGTAGGAAGTGGGGAAGGAGCCACTGGCCATCACCATCTTGTTTTTTTGCAACCAGAAGTGATACAAGAGGGCGGAGCTAAGTACAACCGAACACTGAATAAGTGATTTTTTACCAAAATGTTACATTTAACTTTCATCAACTGAAGACACATTGTGTGTGAAAGGTTTAAAGTCTTAAGACGAAAACACCGACAACTCCCAGATTGAACAACGCGGTGGTGAAGACCTGTCAATCACAAGGTAGTCGGGCTTAAATTGGGGAAAATATGTATTTAATGATACACAAGACATTGGAGAAATATGTTTGAATATTTCTCTCCATGTAAACATCAAATAGCTTCAAATAGAGTTGGAACAAGCTGATTCAGAATATACATGTGATTCTGTTTAACAGTCTGGACTTACGTGATGATTTCTACAACTTTGAAGCTACTTGAAGCCACGATTACACAAGATAGTTATTTAAAAAAGAAGACACAGAATAATGTGATAGAATGTCAAATCTACCACACGATGTGGTTGATGTGGTGAACAGAATATAATTCATATGTATAATTCAAGATACCAGTGTTTATTCGACGCACATCTGCTCTGTGCTCTCTGACCTTTATCATTTTTTGGAAACCGTCTTTGAGATAAAAAATTGCTCTTTTTAAAAAAGATGATGAAATAATTGTCACTGTGGAGGAGTTCCTATTGATCATTTAATAGTTTTATGGGAATCAAACTGAATCAAGCAACAAAGAACTTGAAATCGAAGTCAATTGAATGAGCTGGAACCATAAAATGACAGCTTCCCGTATCTTAACCACAAAGTGTGTTTTTCCAAGTTTGTCCATTAACTTCCATTTAACGTCAACTCTTTATTTTTATCTTAAGTGAATTTGTTTCGACACCAGCAGGAGAAAGCTGGTCATCTTGTGTTGCTTCATCAGACAGATAATAAATAATTACTATTTGGTGTTGTATACTATTCAACTTCTTCATTATAAAGAACCCCCACGTTTCCTTCCTGTTTGCTCTCGTCACGCAGCACAACGAGGACGTTGGTCAACCAAAGATGATCTGAAGAGTTCTTGAACGTAGCATGGGTTCGGGTTACTTCCTCTTTTACTTTCATGAAGAAAACACTCAAGAAGTTTCACTGTATCACGATGTGCAAGAAACGCGTCTTTTTAAGGAGTGAACTTTTCCAATCACAAGCCTTGATCTGCAAATGATGCTCTGAAAACAGACGTTAATAGACAGCACAGTATGAATGAACATGAGTTTGTGAATAAACCGTGTGCGTGCGTGACGAGTCAGATATAACCAGCTGAGTGATTGTTTTTCCATGGTACTGAAGTGTCTCTATATTTATGTGCATGTGTCAGTGTGTGTGTGTATATGTGTGTGTGTGTGATGGCTTAAAATGCATTCATGTGTGCTAGATCTGTCCACACTGTTGAGCCTTCACCTATAATTTAATGTTCCATTTTACTTTTACTGCAACTCAGACAACAGATCAACCTTTTGCATAATTGTTGATCAGCATCTTAGCGAGGTTGGTTATTTATAAACCAAACAAACTCCACAACAGCTTAGTGACGTATCTCTGTAACATCTCAGGTCCAACATTTGCAAATTTGCATTCTTACGAAAGAGATAAATATCAGTTCCGTGTGTGTGCGTGCAATAGACGCACCTTTATCTGTAACAGCAGCGACAGTGATACTGCTGTGAGACTTTAAAATATGTATACAGTATATATATATATATATATATATATATATATATAT